CAGAAACAACCTGTTTGCTCGAACTAGATCCTGTAAAAAGACAAAACTTCTGTGCTGAAGCTGTTCGTGTTTCACCTGGAACCAGCTGTTATGTGACAAACATGTTTTGACTTCTCAGCTGAACTGCAGGCAGTGTACAGAGTTGATAGGAAACAAGTACAGAGACATTAAAAATCCATCCATCCATCATCTCTACACCTTAATCCTCACCAGGGTCATGGGGGACTGGAGTCTATCCCAGCTGACTCAGGGTGAAGGCAGGTTCACCTGGACAGGTAACCAGTCTATCACAGGGCTACACTTCACCAATTAACCTCAACATGTTTTTGGACTGTTTGAGAGGAAGCCGGAGAACCCAGAGAGAACCCACGCTGCACGGGGAGAACATGCAAACTCCACGCAGAAAGATTCTGGGACGCGAACCGGCGACCTTCTTGCTGTGAGGCAACAGTGCTACCAACTGCGCCACCCTGCAGCCCGACATTAAAAATACAAGCAGCAATATAGTGATAACACTTGAGGGGAATCTTAAAATGTTCTACTTTCAATTTAGCTTTTTTTGTTTTCGGTGATTTGTGCCATTGTAGCTGTGACTTACTGCACTGAATGCATTCCTGAGTTCTCTCCACCTCTATTCATGGATGTGCTGTTTCCATAGAGACGTACCACTTCATGTTGACGTGAAAAACGAGCCGCACAGCGATGAAAAATATGAGAAGTAACTGACAGGGAAATGTAATGGAGTAAAACACACAATATGATGCAGGAACATAAATTCTTCTATGATAACTTCTTTGCATTCCAGTGGCAGAAGAATTTGAATCTTAATTTCTGCCTTATCGCAGCGTTCATCCTTGAATTATTGGACTCCTGAAATGAAAGCGTCTTGATCTCATCTGAAAGGCGAGACGCTCTAAATGCCTTCTTTACATCATCTTCATCACCAGACCTCCTCGAAATTCCTGGTCAGCCTTAATAAAACTTGCGCGAATGACAGCTAGTGCGTTATTCATCTTTTTTTTTTTTAAAAGTTTGCCACCGAGGACTGAACGCCGCCTCAAACTACTTTTCACACAGCAGCCCTGCCACTTGAAATTCTAAAGCCGGTTGGAGTCGGCGAAGTAAACAGCGTTCCTCGCTGAAGTGTTTAGTTTTTCAGCGGTGTTTATCCTTCCTTTTCGGTGTCCGAGGTTGTAGCTTTATATAGGGTTGGAAAAGGAGATGTGTCATGTTTTTTTTTAAGAGAGCCAGTTTGCCTGTGGGTGCATTTTTGTTGTCATCAGGCAAGTCCCTGCACTGCAGCGGCGCAGGCCTGCCCGAGTGGAGATTCTTCAGGAGAGAGATCTCTTTCTTCTCAAAGCGTCTTACCAAGAGCTATTAATTATTAACTGGGAGAGCTAACATCAAAGGAGCAGACTTGTGCTGAATTAAATGGGGGCTGGAGCCTGGCAGTGTGGAGCTGAGAGGGAAAAAAAAAAAAAACTGGGTGAGAGGGAAAAGCAGAGCTGAGATTTCGCTCCGCTCGCTTTTGAACTTTCCAAGTACAAAAGTGAAAAAAAAAAAAAAGAAACCCAGCGCGGTGTTAGTTTATGTAAAGGAGGCAGGACCAAAAAGAAAGCCGGAAGAGCTCGTATTTATAGCATGTCGCTGTTCTTAACGTTGCTGCGTTTGATAAGCTGGGAAAGATCGAATCACTTTGCAGGGCTAATTAGTCTTTAATGAGCTATGAAAGCCAGAGTCATAAACATGTTGTCTATGGATTCAACCAAAGGGAAATCTAATTGAGACGTAGCTTATAAACCTAAGAGTTATGGCGTGTTTACATTTTCCTGAAGCTGATTTACACTCACGGCGCGATCCATGAGCGACCCGCCGTATCAAAGGCCTTTTGTTGCTTTAATGTCGCTCCTGCTGGAACTTGTCCGTGCAGCCGTCGTCCCAGCAAACCTGCCTGCAGTGACGGAGACCCGGGCCGGCGCTGAAAATCAAATCCCGGCTATATTTAGCGTCACTATTGACTCTGTCATTGATTCTCCAGAATGCAAATACCTCCAGTCCTCTTTCTTGTGCAGCGGTGGAAGTGTTGGTTTGTACTTTCTCGCTGCCAGCTTTTGCTTCACCTGCTCGTTCTTGGACAGCGACGTTTTAATCATTAACTCCTTTCTGAAGACTCGTGAAACACGGTGGGAGGACGGTGGGGAAATAGTAAAAATGCTGTAAAAGAAAAGGACATTTGCAGTTGTGGCACAGCTGGATGGCACTGAGCATTAGAAGAGCGTAGGAAGTCAGCGCTGGGATGTGAGGTTGAGAAGCTGCAAGAAGCAGCAGAATTACAGCGCTGTGGTTCGGTGACATCATCTGTGGCTTGATGCTAGTATGCATGTACCTGCACAGGTGTTGAGAGGACGCTTTAGCTCAGGGGTCTCGAACTCCGGTCCTCGAGGGCCGCAATCCTGCAAGTTTTAGATG